CGCTCCCGGGGCCGCGCTGCCTTAGTCGCCTGAGGCCGGAGGGCCGGGAGCTCCCGCGAGGAGCCCACGCTTTGCCGGCACTTTCCCCTGCCGGGTCTGTGACTGTTTTCATTTTGTTTTAAGCCAGAAGAGGCGAGAGTCTCACCAGCTTGATGTTGGATATCTGTGTTTTTATGACTGCTTTCTTTTCTTTTCTTTCTTTCTCTCTTTCTTTCTCTCTTTCTTTCTTTCTTTCTTTCTTTCTTTCTTTCTTTCTTTCTTTCTTTCCTTCCTTTCTCCTCCTTCCCTTCATTTCTTTCTCGTTCCTTTATTTCCTTCGTTCTTCTTTTCCTTCTGCCTTGCTTTTTTGTCTTCCCTCATTTTAAAACTTTCCTTCTCTTTTCCTTCATTCCTTTCCTCCCTCCCTCTCTTCTTTCCTTTTCTTCCTCCCTCCTTCCTTCCTCTTTCCTTCCTTCTTTTCTCCCGTCTTTCCGTTCTTCCTTTTTTTAACTTCCCTTCCTTTTCTCTTCCCTTCTTCCCTCTCTTCCTTCCTCCCTTTCTTCCCTCTTCTTTCTTCACTCCTCCCCCTCATTCCCCATCCCTGACCCTCTTTTTTCTCTTCTTTTCTGTTTTCATTTTGCCCCAGAATCTTCTCTTATTTCTCCTATCAGTTTTTCTCAGTCCACTCCGGAGATCAGCAACTCCCAACTTTAATTCTGACATCTCCTAAAAGTCTTCCCCACCCTCTGTCTCCAAGGCCCCTCTAGCCCCTCTCCCACTCTTGGCTTCTGGGATGCTAGATTGTGTTGCCTTGAGGCACTGCCCTTGGAGATTGACGGGGGAACTTTCCTGGGCACCCTCAGCACTCTTTCTGGGGACTCCTGGTCCCAACTGAGAAATGGCCAGTGCTCCCCCACCCCTCTAGGCCCCCAGCTGGGCTTCAGGGAGTGGGAGATCTGGCGGCCCCAGGCCTTATCGGACCCAGAGAGGGCGGAAGGGGAAGAAGGAAGATGACTAATTACATCATCCTTATTTTCTCTGGGCTGCGGACAAGTGTCGCTAACACTGTTTCCATCCCCACTGTGTATAAAGATGGGGGTGGTAGGTAGTGAGAGTGAGTTGGATAACTGGACTTGAAGTGAAAGTGTGTGTGTGTGTGTGTGTGTGTGTGTGTGTGTGTGTGACACGTGTGTATGTGTGTGTATGTGAGCGCGCTTGTGTCGGGCAGGTCGAGCTGTCAGTGGCCGCCGCCCTGCTCCCCGGGCGCCCCAGCCTCTAGCCCCGGGTGGGCGCTCTCAGCCATCAGCCATAGTTCTTAGGGTTTCTGGAACGAGTGTGAGGATTTCTGCGGAACAGCGAAACTTTGTCAGGACAGGTCTTTTTTTTTTTTTTTTAAAGCACCAAACACAAAACACCCCCAGCTCCCTTTTCCACAGTGACCACCCCTGACAGCTCCGAGTTCCACCCTGAGAGTCCTTCTCTTCATGCTCTAGGAGTCTAGGGGGTGGGTGGGGAGCATGTGGCTTCCCGAGGCCGGGCGTCCGCGCCTGCAGGGGTGCATGAGGTTTCCTGGAGGATGGCTTCCGCAGCGAGCAGCTGAGCGTGTCCCCCATCCCTCCTCACCAGCCCACGGAGCTGAGACGGGAGAATCGAGGGGGTGGCGGGAACCGGTTCCCATGCCCCCTCCCTCTAAGCTGTCAATGAACTGCTCTATTCCGCGGACGCGGGTTCACCTCCTCCACGGCCACGCTCCTGTCTCCCCACGCAGCGCGCGTCAGGTCGGAGGCAATGCTTTACCTCCCGCGCAAAACCCCAACAAAACTTTCGCAGCGCTTCTGCGAGTTGGGGGGCGGGGGGGCGCGCCCTGTGAAACGCGTGGAGGACAGGACGCGCGAGAACACGCCAATCCCGCCGTC